CATGACTCAGGTTTTCTGCGGTTCTTCTCATTCCCCCCACTTGCATGTTGGGACAGACTGTGAAGTTAAGTCATGACGAGTTCCACAGCCTTCCCCGTTTATTCTTCACTAATCAATCTAATCTGAGCTAGTGAGAGTGTCGTTAAATAAATTGTAAACCATAATAATCAGGACTAGTGTAACTGTAGCGTCAGAATAGTCATAAGCATAAGATTTTGTCTTGCAAGCTTTCTACTAATTATCTTTTAACTATGGTCGCGCATATTCATGTATTACATTACTTTATTCGGATTGTGGAGGGAGAAATGAATTGATATAGAGGTGTAATTAATTACATAAAAGTTGAGAGAAAATATAAAAACCTTTAAAACTTAAATTTAAAGTTATTACATAACTGTAGTCTAATTTATATAATTGTAGATGTAATTGTATTTGTTGTAGTTGTAATTGTATTTGTGTTGTATTTATTGTGTGTAGTGTGTCCTTTATTGTTTGTGTAGTTTTGTATGCTGTGTTTTGTTTGAGCGTGGTATATTATTTTGTGTTTTGTGTCTTATTGTAGTACCACTGTCACCGGATAAAATCCCATTTGCAGCAAAAAAAAATAATAATATTAATAACAAACTATATCATGCAATTTATTATTTTAGTTTGACTGCAAAAGACACACCTCACTTTTGTGGATTGACCCTTAGTGAAGGATATTTATGATTTGTTAATAACATTTTGTTCTACAAGACGTTATTTCCTATCGTCTTAAGCTGACCTCGAATTTTGTGTTAATTTTTCATCTCTTGTCTTATTTTTCGGTCATTTGAAATATGTTAAACAAAAACGTGGCATTAAAAATACCATGCATGAAAGAATTAAGAGAGACAGGAAATAGTCTAGAATAAAGGAAGAAACTAAAGCAGGATCGAAAACAAGAGAAATTAAATAGTTAGGAAGTGTACGTAAACTGTAACACTTCTGCCGTGTTTTCTCCCTTTTGTATGATCTTCTTGAAAAATGTATGACTTAAGGGAAAAGTATGTTTCAATTTTCTGTAGACATTTTGTTCGAAATATTTTTGTCTTCGATAAACATGCAACACTTTACTTCGAGATGTGTGCAGAAACACGTGTAAATCTCCGTGTTAAGTGTCCGTTATTTTTGTCTGATTTTAACTAAAAAGTATCGCCAAAGTTAGAGGAAGAAGCTTGAGCAGGAAGGAAGAAACAGATAAAGCCCAAAGAAAGAAAATGGCATATAAAAAAGAGAATATACTAGAAGGAAACAATTAATACTTTTATATTTATTGATAGCTGCTCTTAACTTATTGAGCTTGCAGCCCGAATAAGGCTTTGTGTTCCTGAGTTGCATTAATCACAGGAGTTCGGTACTGCAAGGAGAGACATTTGTTTTCCTTACGTTGGCAGAATATCAATTTGCACACTTTCAACATAGCCGCTATGTACTACAATCAACTGTACTTTCAGTGCAGAAATGTTCGTAGCTCTGTGCTGTTTCTTAGTAAGATAGAATTTGTTTCTCAGTGATGTTAATATCCACTTCAACGATCAGAGTGTAAGGGAATTTAATCGCACAAAAATTCCCTCATATCAGGCATTCTCCCTTGATGGGATAAGGATTATTATATGCCCCTTGAATGCGAGATGTCTGCTCATTGACATCTGATAGATTCTAATTAATTAACTAAAATAATGAGGCATGCGGTAGGGTTGTAGCTTGAGGCACTAAGCTACAAGCCGGATGATCGCGGGTTCCATTCCCAATGTGGTGAATTTTTTTCAATTTACTTAATCCATCGAACCGCAATATGGCCCCGAGGTCTACTCAACCTCTTAACAGAAATGAGTACCTTCCTGGGGGTAAAGGACGGCGGGCGCGTAAGGCCGACAAACTTACCGCCATCTGTGAGCCGACTGTCTAGAGGAAATGTGAGAACCTCGATGTCTCACAACCTTATGGGCCTTCACGGCCTGTTACAGGGATTGCTTTACCTTTTTTTTTTTACCTTTCACTGACTAAAGTAAATAATAGGAGGCAATTTCACGTACCTCTGTGTAGATACGATACAGTGAAACAAAAGACTGCTAGCAGGACATGAGGTTCTCAAACGGTGGTTATGAACAATCCTATGTTCTGCAATATAACGCTGTGTAGTCAGATGAAAGTCAGAACGACGTTTCCGAGGAACATGCAGATTTTGGTCTCTTGATTGGCTTATTCTTCGGCCCCGAAGATATAGACATGTACCTCCGAAACGTCGGCTGACTTTCAACGGACTACACGGCGTTACATACCAGAAGATATAGCTCTTCAAAAGGCTGCCCCATAGTTCGTGACCTCTTAAGTTCATGCAACGTGCTAACGCTCGACAATTCGTTGCTATGACAACCCGAAATTGCGTAATGGCAACAACAAACCTCATGCCTATACAAAATGTTTAGTGGTATATAAGTTAAAGGTAAAGTTGCCCGCCGGTCACGGTAGCCGAGCGGTCTGAGACATCTACTGTCTTCGTTCGCTCCGAGGCCGAGGGTCATGGGTTCAAATCCCACACAAGGCCATAATGTTTGGTATGTGTATGCGTTTATTCTGTCTGTGTTGTCCTTTGTTTAGGTAGCGGCCTTGCGACGGGCTGATCACCCGTCCTAGGAGTCCTACCATCTGTAAAATGATCATGAAACTGAAAATCAGAGGCCAAGTCACAAGGGGGCTGTAGAGCCAGCGAGAAAAAAAAAGTTGTCCCCGTGCTTAATTAATTAAGCACCACCACACGATGAAGACATATGGGCGAGTGGGGATATAGCTCCGCCGTTCTTGACCTACTAGATGTAGGTGAGTTGTCAGTATCACACCCCAGCCGTTTTACCCCCGGGGAAAAAGCCTCCGGGATCCATTGTATAGGAGGCTAGGTGGTCCCCAGAAATGGTGTGACGCTGTGGAGTGGAGTCAAATCTCTTCCCCCTGTCAGGAATCGAACCCCGGCCGTCTAGCCTGTAGCCCGCGGCTATACCGACTGAGCTATCGTGACTCTCCCTCCCCCCGACTGTGCTTACTTACGGCTAAAGACACCGAAAGTGTTTTATAGCTCCGCTGGAGAAAGTTTCGTGCAAGGCGGAACCGCCTGTCGACCTTGACTCCAACTGTCAGCTGTACTGACAGAGTCTTCAGCTTCACGCCGCCGTGGATCGTGAAGAAAGTGTGGCCAGTATCGTCTTCTCGCTGTGGCTATTAGGGTCTAGGACATATTCTTCGAACAATGATGTCCCTGCCAAGCTACTGCCCGATGCTTTGCAAGTCTGCGGGTCCTCGAGCAACACACACCGCTCTTGCGGTACACGTGACATAGAAAAGATCGACGAGTTGGATGGTTAACAGATTTAATTAGTATGTGGGAGGACCGGGTTCAAAACCCAGCCCCCAAATATTGGTATTCTGACTGACACTTTCCGTGGCTTTTATCAGTTCTTTCAACCAAAGTACGAATAATGATAATATTATTGACTTTTAGGGCATTATCTATCCTATTTTTATTTTAAAATATACATATACATATATTTTAAAATATGTATTTGAGATTGGACTCCGTCCTCAGGTAGAATACCTGCTTAGTTGGACCCAGACGACAGAGGTAGTCCTTATTTTCGGAGATAAATGNAGGTTTTCTCCGAGTACTTTGGTTTCCCCTGCCAATCTTCATTCCACCAATTGCTCCACAATCACCCTCACCTATCATCTGGGGCTGGTACAATAGGCCAGAAGTGGCCGCAGTACAAGGGACTTAGTCCCACCCCACTAGCAATAAAAAGAAGATTGAGTCCACTTGGTACGTCGACCACTAATTGGTCTATTGTACCAGCCCCGGATGATAGATGATGGTGGAAAGAGAATTGGCAGGGGAAACCGAAGCACTCGGAGGAAACCTACCCCAGTGCCACTTTGTCCACTACAAATCGCACATGACCTTACCGCAGCGGAGGGAAGCCGGCGACTAACCCACTGAGTCATGGCATGATCCTTTTTACGGACTTAACTCTCGTATTTCTGACAGTGAGTATTGCCTATCAAACGAATGTTTCGAGTCCGGTTAATAGAATAAGATTTATCATAATAAATGGGCAAGGCATTTTAAATAAAAAATTTTGTGTAGTCTTTCCGGCAGTCTTACGTAACTGGTCTGTCTTCAGATAATTCTGACTTGGACAGACGTGTTAGCGCATCTAAGACGGCAGCGCTATACTGGCTATCCCTGGTTCAAGCTGCTGTCATGATTCCTGTATCCATTACAAGGTGACCATGGAGCCTGAGGAGGGGAACACCCATACAGTATTATCCTATCACAGCCTCTCAGAACCGCGTGGTAGAGCTCAACTTTGGCTTGTTATCGTTGAAGCAGCGATGTGACGTCTGTAGAATTAGGCAGGAAAATGCACCTGTTGACTGTAACTAAACTTGTCTTGTCGTTCTGCAGAGGCACGCGGTAGCGTAGTTGGTTGAGGCAACCAAGCCTCAAGCCAGAAAGTCGCGGGTTAAATTCCCTATGAATTCACTGGATTTTTCAATTGATCTAATCCTGTCAGCCGCACTATGGCCCTGAGGTCGTCTCAGCCTCTAACACAAATGAGTACCAGGAATCTTCCTGGGGGTAAAGCGCGGCCGGCGCGTAAGACTGACAACCTCACCGTCACCTATGAGCCGATTGTCTAGCAAATATGGGAGCCTCAATGTCTCATAGCCTATGGGCCTCTACCGCCTGTTACAGGGATAGCTTTACCCTTTTAACCATTGGAAAAATATGAGGTTCTCTTATATTAGTCGTCACCTTGTATTTGTTCTTTTATGGTATTAATTATATATTTAATAAAATATACTGTTACTTGCATAATTAATCATGTATAATTATTATTCGCCTTGCCATGTGAACGAAGCTATATGACATGATTTCTTCTTTATGTAGGCGAATTGATAATATATTTTTCCTCTTGTTACAGACAATGTGACCCGCCGTGAGTCGGGCTCAGGGCCCCAAAAACGTGTGGTATGCTACTATACTAACTGGTCGGTGTACCGGCCTGGCACCGCGAAGTTCTCCCCACAGAACATCAACCCCTATCTCTGTACACATCTCATCTACGCGTTTGGAGGTCTTACAAGGGAGAACAGCCTTCGACCCTACGACAAGTATCAAGACATCGAGCAAGGTACCTCAAGCCAATGCCACTACTTCGCACTTAGAGCCTTCAGATCCTAAACGTGTCTACCCCCATTAATTGGTCTTAATTGTTTCCACGAAATGTCCTCGGTTAGCGGATCGTCCGTTAACGAACTTAACATCTGCTTCGATTTTCATTATAGGACCCATAATTTCACTAATTGTATTCAAAAAGTTACAAAATGTGATGAAAGAACACTGAAAATTGATAAGTCTACGACATTGACAAGATGGCTGACTCAAATGTCTGAGCTTGTAAACATGGTAAGTGTGCGCGCATTGGCAATCGTCGATTGATCGAAGAATGATAATCGTTTGGGTATCTGTACATATTGTGCAAATGTCGATGGATCGAATCGTCTATTACTAATAAGAATTGTCTCTGCGTGTCAGACTAAGGCATGAGTTAAGAGAGGCAGGAAGAGTGAGTCAGGAAAATTATTGAGTAGCTGAGCAACTATTAGGCCAAGGTTTGTGAGATTTCAGGTTTTAACGGCTGTGACTATGAAGATTATTGTCTTCTGCGATGTGACGCCATTTAATCTCGTAGGTATTTACCGATGTTTCGTAGGCAGCGGAAACATTTTGCTCCGAAACGTCGGTGGACGTCTACCAGATTATCACAAGACAGTCACCGATGTTAGAAAGTCAAGTCAGACGTGGATTTAACTGCTTTAATGCGACGGTTATGGACGTTTCTGACGAACTTTTGAGGTGGAACTGTAACTGTGTGTTCGCGCAGGTGGGTATGCCAAGTTCACGGGCCTCAAAACGTACAACAAGCAGTTGAAGACGATGCTTGCAATTGGCGGCTGGAACGAGGGTTCCACTCGCTTCTCCCCGCTCGTGGCGGACGAGGAGAGGCGATCCGAGTTGGTGCACAACGTGGTGCGCTTCTTGAGGCAGAACCATTTCGACGGACTGGACCTCGACTGGGAATATCCGGCCTTCAGGGACGGCGGCAAACCGCGGGACAGAGAGAACTACGCGCTTCTCGTGCAGGTACTTAACTGAGCACGTCCAGACTGGGAGGAAGTTCTTGGTGTGTTACATAAATATCTCGATATCTGACACTTTTGGGGTTAAAATAGGCCGTGGCATCTTTTATCAACAATCATTCAATTCAAGATTCGACATAACCCTCTCATCTAAAATCCTATAAAAGGTAAAGGGTAAAGTCCCTGTGCTTAACTAATTAACAACTACGTCTTGAAGGCGTATGGGGAAGTAGATCCACATTTTCTTGACTTCGGCACTAGTTGGAGGTGAGTGGTCAGCTTCACGCCCCGGCCGCTTTACACCCGGGGAAAGAGCCCCCGGTACCCATTAGATAGGAGGGTAGGTGGACCTTAAAGCCGTTCTGGACGTGGAGAAGAGAAAATTCTTGACCCTACCGGGACTCGTACTCTGACTCCTCGGCCGTCCAGCCAGTCGCTATACCGACTCCCGGTGTATATGCCCTGTGAAGTTATAAAAGCTTTGATAAATGAAAAAAAAACTGACCCTGAGGTGTGTATAATGAAGTTCTATTGTCATGTATCTGAGTGCATTAGCGTCATGTTCCTCTTCAGGAACTGCGTGCAGAATTTGACCGTGAATCCGCAAAGACAGGAAGACCTCGACTTCTTCTCACAATGGCAGTGCCCGCGGGCATCGAATACATTGACAAAGGCTATGACATTCCGAAGCTGAACAGGTAACTTTACAAAAGATGGAGTTTCTCGTTACCTAATCTTAATTTTTACTTACATTGTGTTATTTCTAGATATTCTCCTTGGAACGTTTCTTAGAACTTATCAATTATTTTCCTAGGATAAAAGAAATGTCATACATGTATAAAACAGCACAAAGTTCAGACTATGGTTTTATGGATTCTGACACTCTAGGATGGGATGGTATGAACTGGATTCATCTGGCTCAGGATAGGGACCAGTGGAGGGCTCTTGTGAACACGGTAATGAATCTTCGGGTTCCATAAAATGCTGGAGATTCTTGAGTAGCTGCGCAACTGGCGGCTTCTCAAGAAGGACTCAGCTCCATGAATGAGCGAGTAAGTGGGTGAGTGAGTGGGTGAGTGAGTGAGTGAGTGACACTCTTGTAGTTTTGTATGGGATAACATCGTTTCGAAGAGAAATTTTTTCTTCAGTTTCAGAGTCGACCATGAAAATGGAGCATATTCTTTGGAAACTTTGGTATTTATACAAAACTAAACGGTGTTACAACCCACAAGACAAAAATCTGAATTCAACATTATGATTTTACATATTTTCAAGAATTTATGGATTCGTGACTAATAATAGCGGGTTCAGGATTGGATGATTGGATTTGTTAACAAATGTGTTTACAATCTCTCTCAATCACAATCAATTATAGCGCTATCACTAATCTACCCACTTCACAAATCACCAGGACACGATCTATTCTAGTTCTCGTTCTCCGTTGTACTCCGTTCAACCCCTCTGTATATGTTTTTGTGCACTCTTGTAATTCCTCTGCACAGCCCCACGGAAAGTACCACATTTTCTGTTATCAAGAATGCGTGTTTATTTGTTCGTTACCTAGCAATGGATGTCCTATTGTTGAAAGCGTAACACCGAGAATGTGTTTACCGAGCCGTTGCGTAACAATGGTCATATGCGTCAGTGTTTTATTTTCAGCTGGTTATGGAAACAATACCACAACAAATCAAGAAATTTATGAGATTGCGAGGTTCGAACTGAAGTGAAAATTTAAATAGTGGTAGTCTGAATTATGAGTTTCAGCGTTTCGGAGAAACTTGTTGCCTCCATCATCAGGTTAGAAATGATACAGAAACAGCCCCTATGTAATGATTCCAGGTACTTGGACTTCATGAACATCCTAAGTTACGACTACCACTCTGCTTTCGAGCCCGCCGTTAATCACCACTCACCGCTCTACCCGCTGGAAGAGGACTCTGAGTACAACTTCGATGCCCAGCTTAGCATCGTGAGTACACAAAACGTCATTAATCTGTTCGGTCCCAACAGACGGAGCCCCAAGTGACGACGTGCTCCCTGGGCCAGCCTACTTCTCTGCCCCATTTACAGTATACAGTATGATTTCTCATTTTGTGGATCGCGACCCTCAAGGGACTCGCAAAGTACTTTATGAGTTGCAGCCGGGGTTTCAAGAATAATTTAAAATATGGTTGAAACCACTCAGAGTTCTGGCGGGGTTAGTAATTCAGTAAAAACTATCCCTGTAACAGACCGTGGAAGCTCATAGGGTTTGAGACGTCAAGGCTCCCACATTTTCTATGCAATCGTCTCACAGATGACGGTGAGCCTGTCAGCCTTATCGCCAGGCGCCCCTCACACCCAGGAAGATTCCTGGTACGCATTTCTGTTAGAGACTGAGCCGACCCCAGGGTAAAAATCCGGCTGGAAGGATTAGGTCAATTGAAAAACCCAATGACTTCACCGGGAATGGAACCTGCGGCCTTCCGGCTTGTAGCATAGTGCCTCAACCAACAACGTGCCCGCTAGTACTTCAGCAAGGTTTAATATAGTTGTTTTCGGTAAATGCTGCTGCAAAAGATGAAATAATTTCGCACATTTAATCGTGACTGTCGCCGGTTTCCCTCGGCGGCGTCTCAGGCTAGATCCCAGGTCAAGTCATGTGGGATTTATGGTGGACGATGTGTCACTGGGGGAGGTTTTCTCACAGTACTTCGGCTTCCCTTGCTAATTTTTATTCCACCAAATGTCCCAGACTAATCTATCATCCGGGGCTGATACAATAGGCCGACTAATGGCCGAAGTACCAAATGGACTTAGTCCCACCCCCACACCAAGAAACTAAACTAACACTCGAGGCCTTGATCCAAGAGTCACCAGCTCTTTGCAGAACTTCCTGTTAATCATACACGTACATTTGTTTTATTTATAATTGTATTTCCACAGAGTTGACTTCTGAACCAATTAACGAAGAACATTTATGTATACAGGACTACACAATAAACCACTACGTGAAACTGGGTGCTGACAGAGACAAGTTGGTGCTTGGAATACCAACATACGGGCGCTCCTACACGCTCTACAACCCGCTCGCCACAGAGATCGGTTCTCCTGCTGATGGCCCCGGGGAACAGGGTGACGCCACGAGGGAGAAGGGATATCTCGCGTATTACGAGGTATGTCCATTCATTTGGTCAGATAACTTGGAAATTATTACAAATATAAACTTTAGATGTGACATTTGTAGGGTGACATGTTATAAATAAACAGAGTGGCCCAAAAGTCAGTTAATCTAAAACATGTTCTCGTATTAACGGGAATGTTCAGGTTTAAACCGGGCCAGTCAATTTGTAGAACGAATCACTGAATTCTGAGTTGTGCATTGAACTTAAAGGATCTCAGTTGGAACAATTCTTATAAATGCAGCAAATAATAAAGAAATTTCTAACATACTATGACATGGCGTCTGACGGTCTGACAGTGAAGCCAGAGCAGAGGAGACGTCCACTGGTGGGCAACGGCTCAGTAAACATATTGAGTTAAGAGCAACGTTTTCAGAGATTTCCTCGGTCTCCATTACCAAGGTGGACCCGGATATCCTGAGTTAAAACAGTGACACGGCTGATATCCGGAGAAGATTCTTTGCGACTGACGTCCAGTCAGTCAGTAAGTCTTGGTGTCGAGCTCCATCCGGGGCCCACGATCAGATATTAATTATTACCGTTAGACACTTATGGTCTTCTTTTTGTGGGGCGCCCTCTCTGACGAGAGGACGGATCTGTCTTTTGTATATGCTTCTGGTGCTCACCAGCGCAGTCCTCGGATCCGAGTCCTTGGGACTCGCGACCATATTTTACTGTCTCAGATTTGAGACTTTCCTTTTCGTCGCCTCCTACGGCTCGCAGGGTCACGGTGGAGGTATTCGACCCCGCCTCCACGCGGGGGGTATCACTTCCATATTAATATAACGTTTGTTTATTATAAGAGAAAAATTAATCTAGCCCTAAGTACAGCGTGTAGAACTTCTGCAGAAAGAGCTTGCTTAAATCTGCACTGTTTAGTTGTAACCTTTGTTCTCTCTGCAGATCTGCGAGAACCTGCAGTCAGATGGCTGGAAGGTGGAGCACCCTAACCGCAACGCCATGGGACCTTACGCTTACAAGGGCAACCAATGGGTTGGCTACGACGATATTGACATCGTCAAGCTCAAAGTAAGGCTTTCATACCACACGGAAACTTGAGATCCACATCCATCACGTCTTGTACTGCTGGAAGTATCATTCCTCACGCATGCGCGTTGCTGCATATAGGCTCACTGCATATCTCTCCTCATTACACAAACTCGATGTTCCAGTGTCTTTCTTCAGAAACATTTTTTTTATTGCCAGTGGGGGGGACTAAGTCCCTTGTACTGCGACCACTACTGGCCTATTGTACCAGCCCCAGATGATAGGTGAGGGTGCTTGTTGAGCAATTGGTGGAATGAGGATTGGCAGGGGAAACCGAAGTACTCGGAGAAAACCTGCCCCAGCGCCAGTTTTTCCACCACAAATCCCACGTGACCAGACCCGGGATCGAACCCGGGCCGCCGCGGTGGGAAACAAGCGACTAACCGCTTGAGCTATGGCGCGGCCTTCTTTAGAAATAATTGCTCCCTGGTCAAAAAATTTAGGAGTCTTTTTTGGAACCTTAAAGTTAATTTCTGTGTTCACTAGTCCGCTACTGGACTCTATACTGAGCCAGTTTTATCCAATCTTATAACATAATTCCTTAAGATTCAATTTAATATAATCTTTCCAACTGCACTTAGGTCTTCCAAATGGTGACTACCGTTGAATTGTTTGAATTTCTTATCTGTGTTATGCATTCTCATATTCTGAGTAGACCGTAATTCAAATATTATAAACATTCCTTGAGTATATGGTGTTTCGGAGGTTTACTTGATGAAAAAGGAAGCAACGGTGGAGGTATTCTAAGCCGCCTCCACATCAGAAGGCCAGAATATAGCCCTACTATCAAGGAACAAAGCGCTTTGTGCAGATTTTCATGTTGTGATGTTGGTATTGTTCACAGTCGCAGTACGTGAGTGAGAACGGACTGGGTGGCATCATGTTTTGGTCTATCGATAATGACGATTTCCGTGGGAAATGTCATGGGCGCCCGTACCCACTGATAGAAGCGGGCAAAGACGCTCTGCTGGCGAGCTCGGGGTGAGTACTCCTGCTGGATGTGGGCCATGTTGAGGCGCCTTCGCAAAATATTTCTAGTCTCCAGCATATATGTCTGTCTGTCTGTCCTGACCGGAATGATTCAGATTGGTCAAAATATTTACACTAAATGCTTTTAGTAATATCTGTAAATTTATCATGTAAACGTAAAATTAAAGGTATCCCTGTAACAGGCCGTGGTGGGCCCACATTTTCTCTACACAATCGGCTCACAAATGACGATAAGTGTGTCAGTCTTACGCGCCGGCCGCCCTTTACCCCCCAGGAAGATTCTTGGTACTCATTTCTGTTAGAGGCTGATTCGAGCCCAGGGCCATACTACGGCTGGAAGGATTAGATAAATTGGGGGGGAAAAAAAATCACTTCATCGGGACTCGAACCTGCGATTTTCCGAATTGTAGCATAGTGCCTTAACCAACTACGCTACCGTGAGCCCCCATAAATTTAAAATGAAAAGATAAAGCAACTCAATTATCCTTCTCTTCAACTTAAGAACTGATCTAATTCAAAATTATAAAATAAATTAAAAACAAATGCTTTCAATTTGCTAAAATCTTCTAGGGCTTACCAGCCGTATCAATGCTGAACTGAAATCAAACGTTTCGATGATCTGCTCGGTTTCCATCATCAGGGTCAATGTGAATGACCTCATGTCGCTCATGTTTGTACTTATCCGCCAATCTGTGGTTCTTCCTGCGAAAATGGCTCATCACCCAAGAAGACCTGAGGGCGTCTATTCGCCGTGAAAGCTTCAAATCTTACCAAGTCCTTCCTACGTTTGGTATGACTACTCATCCAGGGAAATGATCCGTCATAAGCCCTGTTGGCCTGCATACAGAGATACAAACGTACACATGAATCACTTTCGTGTTTCGAACCTCTTATTCCACAGTCCGAGTGGCCCAAGGCCGTCCACCTTAAACCCGGCCGTGTGATGCGATCAGCATTAATGATAAAAAAAACTGAAGTCCCTATGCTTTAACTAATTAAGCACTAAGCCATGAAGGCGTATGGGGGAGTGGATGTATAGATCCATGTTTTCTTGACTACGGCACTAGTTGGAGGTGAGTGATTATCTTCACGACCGGGCCATTTTACCCCCCCGGTACAGACTGGATAGGCGGCTGAGTGGGCCCCAGAACCAGTCTTGACGACTTGGAGAAGAGAAAATTCTTAACACTGCCTGGACTTGAACTCCGACCCCTCTGTTGTCCAGCCCGTAGCCACTTGCTATACCGACTGCGCTATCCCGGCTTCTGATTGGTATTAACGAATAATTAAAATTAATATCTAAATACATATTTGCAAAGGGCATCGAGGACTGTGAGCAATTCTTAGAAGACAAAACAAACTCCGTGGCTTTAGTCCGCAAGTGAACTATACCGACCGAGCGACGACCGCCGTTTGTCGGTGAAGTTAGTGCCAACTTAAGCGGATAGAGTATGTCGCGTGGTCAATGCAACGAATCCCCACGGCCGTTAATCTCGGTTTTCTAGACCGGAACCGCTACTTTTCCATTCAAGCAGCTCCTGAATCCTCACGAGGCTGAGTGGACCCGCAATTCTTATTAGCCTAATTCTAAATGCAAATCTGTTGTTGTCAGGACATCTAACGACGTTGTGTCAGTGGCGCCGACGCGAGGCCACAGCAAAACGCGCCCGAAACATCCGTCCAGTAACAGCAGCAGTTCGGGGAACAGCAGTGGACGGCAGGGTCCTCAGGGTGGCCCCCACACCCACAAGAAACGTCCCTCTAGCAGGCGTCAACACGACAAGCCCACTCGCAGTACCACGTCCAGAGCCAGCACAACTACCACCACCCCAGCTTACAGCTACCCGCAGACAACACCAGAGCCCCCCACTACACCCGATCCTGGCAGCGGTACGGTCACATCCTCTTGGATTGCTGGCATTGGAGTTCGGTTTGGGGGGGAACACGGGTGTCTGTGCCCCGGCGAGGGAGAGTCAGTAAACAGGTCACAAACAGAAGTAAAAGAGCTGTAATGGTCGTAATAGGGTTTCTATATGTATCACTAGGTAGCAGCACAGCCCATCTTCATGACAGTCTAAGAAGCATACACGCATGCGCATATTCAGAGGCTGGTTTCAGTAGTCAGAATGGCGACCGTGCCTGAGAAGTATACTACCGAATCGGAGCGTTCTGTTGTGCGTTTCTATGTGGGCAGAAGGACTCAGTGCAAAGAAATGTTTTCTGTTTATGGAGAGAAGTGTATGTCGTGTAACGCGGTCCACATCTGGGTAGCAGAAGTTTCGCTGATGACGAAGCAATTGAAACGGAGGTGAGGAAGTCAAAAGATTTCTATGATGCCGGTTTCGACGCACTGGTAAAGCGATGAGACAAGAGTATCAATGCTGGTGGAGGATATGTCGAGAAGTAAATGTTCCCCCCCCCAGGGTCAAATGTCACATGTTTTACGTCTTATATCCGTTTGTGACCTATTTACTGACTCTCCCACATACAGAGCTGCGAACAGGTATCCCTCAGTAAAATCTTGAATATTTCAAGATATTGGCTATCTTCTGCTCATATGCTAATTAATTAAATAGTTGTCGCACTTCAGCCATGATTGTCTTTTGGGGGGGGGGAGGTAAGACAGATTTTACTGGGTACGCCGGCCATGGTAGGTCTGTTGTGCCAGTAACGGATGATAGATGAATGTGAAGCATTCGGTGGAATGAGAATTGGCAGGGGAAAGTGAAGTATTACAGAATACCTGCCCCGCTGCCACTTTGCCCACCACATACTCCAAGTTACCTGGTCTAGGATCGAATGCGAGCCGCTGAGATAGGAAGCCGGGGGGTTAACCGCCTGAGCTATGGCACTGCAGCCTCTCAGTGATAAAGCATAACATACATGAGTAGCAAGAATGCCTTAAAGCTCTAAGTCCACAAACCGGAGCATTTATTAACACGCTGATAGCGTGCTCAAGAAATTCAACGTCTTCATGAAACTCGAACTTTCCGTAAAGTTCCTCTAAATTTTCTTTGTCTTCCTAACGGATTGTTTCAGTGAATTTAGCAGTTTGATTCCACAACACTACAGTTCGTAAATCTGAAATATGTGTTTAACTTCCTGGCAGATTTCAAGTGTAAGGACGAGGGATTCTTTCCGCACCCACGCGATTGTAAGAAGTACTTCTGGTGCCTGGACAGCGGTCCCTCCAACCTGGGTATTGTGGCCCACCAGTTCACCTGTCCTTCAGGTAAATATGGCACTTCTGATTATTCGTGTTCTCACTAATATTTTCACGTAGTATTAGACGGGGTTTTGGATAGTTGGATTTCCTGATCCTCAGTCTGTGTTCCTCCCTTAATGTCACACCCATACAAAACCACAGGCAAAATTATAGTTTTTATGTTCTAATTTGTGTGTTTTTAGACAGCAGACAAGAAAACAAAAGTTTCTGGACTGAATGGTAGCAAATTTTACCCGAATTCAGTCTCCTCTTAATTTCCCCACAAAATAAAATTCTTTGAGACAGACCTTATATATAGCATATATAATTCCATAGAACAAACATGTTCTTAATGGGGCCTACTTCTTGTACAAGCGCACATACATGGTGATAGCCTCACCTAAATGTCACTTTTCTTCCNCGTCGGCCAAAACGAAGAATACACGGCGCCTAAACCCAGAAGACGACTTTCTTCAATGTTTATTTAATTCACCAATTTCTGTTGCTTGAAACATTGCCAGGCCTGTTCTTCAATAAAGCAGCCGATTCTTGTGACTATGCCCGTAATGTCGTGTGCAAGAAGAAGTCAGGGGAAACAGGCTCCAGTACTACCAAGGCCCCCCCGATCACCGCTGCTACCAGCCGCACGACACGCATCGGCTCTTCCACGGCCACCACAACGACCTCAACAACTACAGCTGCACCTCAGCCTGCAGCAGAGCAAGAGGAATATGAAGATGAATATGACGAGGAGGGGGAGGAGGAGGTGGATGCAGAAGAGGATCCACAGGCGATCAAGGAGCTCATCAATTTGATCAAGAAACTAGGTACGATCCTTACTTATTTACTTACTTACTCATGAAGCTGAGCCCTCCTGGAGGAGCCGCCAATTCTGCAGCTACTCAAGAATTTCCCAACATTTTATGGAACCCGAAGGCTCATTACCGTATTCACAAGAGCCCTCCACTGGTCCCTATCCTGAGCCAGTTCTATCTAATCCATACTATCCCATCATATCTAAGATCCATTCTAATATTGTCCACCCACCTACGCCTTGGTCTTCCCTGTGGTCTCTTTCCTACTGGCTTTCCCACCAATATCCTATATGCATTCATCGTCTCCCCCATTCGTGCTAGATGACCTGCCCACCTCAATCTCCTTGACTTGATCATTCTAATTATACTTGGAGAAGAGTACAAGTAATGAAGCTCCTCATTATGCAGTTTTCTCCAACCTCCTGTCACTTCATCTCTCTTCGGTCAAAATATTCTCCTCAACGCCCTGTTCTCAAACACCCTCGGTCTATGTTCCTCCCTTAATGTCGGAGACCAAGTTTCACACCCATACAGAATCTAGGTACGATCCTATTACAGAAAAACATTATCATAATGAAATCCCATGGGAAGTAAATGTTCTTACATTTCAGACATTTTCCCGTTTAACACTGGGATACCAAGGGACTTGGTCTGTATTTACTTGTACATAACAGTAATCTCATCGTATGAGCCAAAATATATATACTTATGATCCGGGTCTCATGTCACAGATTTATATTTCACATATCCTCATACTAAGATCTGAGGTTCTCACAGCCGTGTAGTCCGTTAAAAGTAAACCGACATTTCGGAGAAAAATAGCACCTCCAACTTAAAACTTATTCGACCCTGAACACGGAGGCGATATATTCCTCCGAAACGTCGGTTGACTTTGAACCGACTACATGACCTTATATCGCAGAAGATACTGCTCTTTATTATACTTAATTCAAGATGTCTTCTCTATTTTCTCGAAACTGAGTTTATGTGGTTTATCAACTTTTCTTCGACATCTCTCAATTTGTCTCTGTAAATTCCGTGTACGTGCAAGAGCAAAGAACACACAGCCTATACGTGTTTCTATATCCGTGTGTGCGCAGGGGGAGTGGAACAGTTGGAGAAACAGTTACATCTTCAGGACTCAGACCAGGACAAGTCAGGACAAGTGACTTCAGGGTTCAGTCGCAGCCTTTACGACCGTGTCTTGAGCCGGAGTAATGCCCGTGGCAACAGCGCGTTCAGTGGCGGCTCCTCAACCACTCCCAGGTACGTGGAATTACATCTTCCAGGATGCGACAATGTGTAGTACGTAGATGTACCGATGTTTCGAAGGAACGTATTGTTTCCATCTTCAACTACGAAGAATAAGCCAAGCAGCTCTGGTAATTCAACAGTATGGATGGTTTCTCATCTCAGAAAATAGAAAAACCTGTACAGTTGTCGCTATGAGAATCTCAAATCCGGGTACTCTTCTGTGCATAAAATTTATATTGTCACGATTTATATGGGACTATCGCCGGGGTTTGGATTGGATGATTGGATTTACTGGCTCCTTACACACACAACTCGGATCTACACACAATACAGTGCTATCGCTGATCTACGCATTTTACAAATCACTACAGCATACGCTAAGCTTCAGT